ACACTGAGGTTTGCTTCCGGTCTTCTTGAAGACTTGGAAACTTCCCCTCTGTTCAACATAGTTACTCTCCCATGTTAGCTTTCTCCCTGGGAACCCAGATATCCACCCCCACAATTTCTTCTATTTTACTTTCTATTGACATGTAGCAAATCACTCTGAAATGCAACAACTACTTTATTGGATTTATGGATGTGTGAATTTCAGCATGCATACATAGGAAGACAGACTTGTCTCTGCAGCCTCACTCCCACGGTCCACCCCCTGCCACCAACACCTGTGGCCTCTGATGGGAGACGCAGTAGCTGGGTATGATTTGGGGGCAGGGAGGCAGCTGAATCCTCAGGAGGTGTCTTCAGTCTGCACTCACTGGCCGTGCTTGCTAGCTGCTAAGGCCTTTGCTGGGACTGAGAATCTGACCATGGCCTCTTCTGTGAGCGGGATTTCCACACAGCACAGGAACACACAAGGTAGTCAGAAACACATCTTGACTTAGGTTTGGAAGCTAAAAGTATCACCTCTGCTACTTTCTATTGCTTATTGCCTCAGAAGCCAGCTGAAATCAAAGGGGGAGATCCATAGTTCTCTCTCTCCTTTTTTTTTTTCTTTTCTCTTCCCCAGACAGGGCCTTCCCATGTAGTCTAGGCTGGCTCCCAACTCACAATCCTACTTGCACAGCCTCCCAGATTTGGAGGTGACCAGGCACATACCACCACACTTCATAGATGCTCCAGGTCGCCAGTAACCCAGCCTAACACGGAATTTACTAAATAACTTCATCAGGCCTTGAACTCAGTCCCCTGCATCGAAAGTACTAGAATTACAGTTTGCTGAGTCTTATCTTTTTGCAATGGGGGAGGACATGGATGCCCTGCCCACAAAGCCAAGGAGAAGGGCAAAAGAACACACCTGTAGCTCTTGTTTAGTAAACTCAACAGAGTATCCTATGGTTGTTTTTAGTAGATCATGCAAGGATAGACCAGGAATTTCAACCATGCTTTCAACCACAAGAAGAATTTATGTGGTGCTGACAGTAAGATGAAAGATATGTAGAATGCTCCAGTGTTGTTAAGGTGGAGTGTGGAAGTTTAGGAGTTCAAGGCCACCCTGAGCTACATAAGAACTGTCTCAAAAAAACCAACCCCCCTCAAATAAAAAACCATTCCAAAATTGTGCCTGTCATAAGGGCGCGTACCTTTCATCTCAGAACTTGAAAGTCAGAAACAGGCAGATCTTTTAGTTTGAGGCCAGCTTGTTCTATATGGGGAGTTTGAGACCAGCCAGGGTTACATAGTGAGGCCCGTTGGGGAGGCTGGAAAGGAAATTAGAAGAGAAAAATACGAAGAGTAATTCATGTGTGCGCACGTGCACGCGCGCGCGCGCGCGCGTGTGTGTGTGTGTGTGTGTGCGCGCCCGCTCGCGCGTGCATTGTTCCTCAGTTGTTTCTCTACTTATTTTTGGGACAGTCTCTTACTGAATCTGGAGCTCACTGATTCAGCCATCACCCCCCAGGGCTCCTTCTTTCGGCTCCCCCCTGCACTGGGTCTTCCGAACGTAGCCGCACCTGCCATCTTTTGTGGGTCCTGGGCATCTGAATTCAGATCTTCATGCTTGCATGGTGCACATTTTACCACTTTGCAAGTAATCCACCTCCTCAACCCCACTTTCTTTGGAGAAGGGTTTAGATAGTGTAGCCCAGGCTGACCTTGAACATCCCGGGGTTCTGTCGAAGCTTGCAAAGTGCTAGGATGCTGGTGCACACCGCCCCACCAGGTTAGTGCCTATTTTTAAGAATACTCCTCAATCTGTTTCTGCTTTTTTCTTTTTCTGTTTTTAGGTTTAATTTTAGCTGGACATGGTGTCTTTCTTTTTTTCTTCCCCCTCCATGGTATCTTTCCTAAGAACTAAAACGACTTGATCAAGGAGGGTTCAACAGGAGATGTTGTGCCTGGCTACCTGGAATTCCAGGACTCTTTTTAAGTAGCCATCATGCTGGTCAGGTCAGGAGCCCTGGGGCTGCTGATAAGAAATAGTTCTGTGGCCAGGCCTAGCTTGGGTATGTCCCTGTTGGGGTCAGAGAACATGGAAAATGTCAAGTTGTTGACACTACCTGGTGACTAAGAAGAGAGGTCTTTTGTCTCTTCTCTACAGGAGCCGGGGTCATTTTGAACTGGGAGGATACTGACTTCTCAAGTGTGTTGTTGGGGAACACCAAAGACAATTATTTTCTGAGTTAATTCCCCGTACCCACATGGAGACTCACAACTATCTGTAGTTACAGTTCCAGGGGATACCCTCTTCTGGGTACCAGGTACACACACGGTGCACAGCAGACAAGACTGCTATATACACATGAAATAAAAATAAATCTTCTTCCCCCTCGAGACAGGGTCTCTCTCACTAGGTAGCTCAGGCTCTCCTAGAACTCACTATATAGACCAGGCTGGTCTCAAAGAGATCCTTTTGCCTCTGCTTCCTGAGTGCTGGGACTAAAGGCATGTGTGGCTAAAAACAAATACATCTTTAAAACAATTGAAAACAAAAGCAAGAACAGATTTAGGCATATTCTGAAGAATGGATAATTAGCTGGGTGTGGTGGCTCAAGCCTGTAATTCCAGAAGTCAGGATGTAGGTAGAGTCAAGTGGGTGGAGAGTCTGTAGCTAGCCTTGGTTACATGGTGAGTTCTAGACCAGCCTGGGATACCGAGTGAGATCGTGTCTCCAGAACTCAAAGGAAAAAAAAAAATCAAAAGACAGAAAGGAAATTTCAATGAAAAAGACTGGACTTGGCCACTGGGTGTCAATCTTGATCCACAGTCACCTTGGTTAAGGGCAACTTCCTGGCTTCATAATTGTCACTCTAGAGGGCTGGGGAGGGGTTTTATTAATCAAATTCTCTTTCACAGCCTTTGTGATTTTTCTTTTGCCACTATGAAGATTTTATTCAACAGGAATCTGAGGAGGAAGCCAGGCCTGGTTTTAGGCACCTGTAATCCTCACACTTGGGAGCTGGAGGGGAGAGGTCATGAATTCAAAGTCATCTCCAGCTGCAAGATGAATTTGAAGTCAATGAAGACTACATCTGATTAGAAAAAAAATCACAAAATATCAACAATGATACAATAACAAAACAGGACTGGGAATGTGACTCCGTTGGGAGAGAGTGAACGGAGGCCTGGGTTGCATCCCCAGCACCAAATAATCCGGTAGTATACACCTGTAATCCTAGCACTTAGGAAGTGGAGACAGTAGGATCAGAAATTCAAGGTCATTTCCCTCTACATGGTGAGTTCAAGGCTACCCTGTGCCACATGAGACCCTGTCTTAAAAATCAAATCACTTCTCCCTTGGCAGAAGTCAGGCATGGTGGCTCAGGCCTGTCTGTAATCCCAGGCTTCAGAGTCAGGAGGGTTCTTTTAAGTTTGAGAGCAGCCTATATGATATGTTTTGGGGTAGCCTAGGCTACAAAATGAGGTCCTGTCTCAAGAAAAATCTTCCTCTGTCAGTTGTGTAAGACACCAGTGGGTCACTTTTCATCTGTGTGGTCATTCAGCTGTATGACATTCCAAAGTCCCGCAGGTCAAATGCTAGCATTGGATGCTCAGCTCTAGGGTTACTATGGTGCCCTGAAGTTTCTGATTAACCTTTCAACTTGGAGAGACGATAGAATCATAAAGTGTTATACAATGGAGCACTTCATAGTCTCCCAGTTCCTCATCTTTATTTCTTCTGAGCATTTCCTTCTAGCTTGAAAACAAACTCTGCGAGCACCATCATTGATGAAACAGCGGGTCCCCAGCTCCAGGCTTCCGCCACTCATTGACCTCTCCCGTTTTGGCATTAGAGATCCATGCTGTCAAGGCAGCTTTCAAAGCTACGTGCTCAAGAAATTCTCCTGCCTCAGCTTCCACTGTAGTTTAGAATACAGGTTCATTCCCACTGTCTTTCTCCTTTTGAGACAAGGTCTTGCTGTATAGTTTAGGTTAGCCCCCATTTTACAAGCCTGAGGTCCCGAGTGATGGGATTACAGGGGTGTGTTGCGTTGTCTGTGTCTGGTCCACCTCTGTGCACCCACCCCCCCCCCCCCCCCCGCCCCCACCACCCCTACACAGGAAACTTGCTGTCTTAAACTTAAAAGATGTTTAGTAAAGTACTTTGCACATTAGGTATTTGCCATGCGCACCATCACAACCGAATCGGTCACTGCTTTTTTTTTCCTGTTACTACAGCTCTGCCTCCGTAAGGATGAATGGAGATCATTCCTTTCAGAGGAGAGCAAACAGTGCTCGGATGTGGGCTGTGCTCATCTTTCAGGGTTTCAGAAGCGGCATCAAAGGCAGGAATTTGGCCAGACGTGCCGGTCCAGATTAGAGGAAATGGGAGTCAGCGGAGTTCGGTGCCCTCACCTCTGCTACTCTGATTCTTAGTGCCCTCACCTCTGCTACTCTGATTCTTAGATGCCCCTCCCCCTCCTGTCACCCCACCCCAAATCGGGGCTTTCTTCTGACTTCTGTTTATCTAAAATGTGCTGATAATCTCCTTATAAGCTGGTGGTTTTCTATTTATTTATTTATTTGCTTATTTGTTTATTTATCTATTTTATATGCATTGGTGTGAAGGTGTCAGATCCCCGGGAAATGGAGTTTCAGACAGTTGTGAGTTGCCATGTGGGTGCTGGGAATTGAACTCAGGACCTCTGGAAGAGCAGTCAGTGCTCTTAACCACTGAGCCATCTCTCCAGGCCACTAATAGTGTTCTTATGCCAAGCCACAGCCATATTGTGGCTCCCAAGACACACTGTAGAACTGTCACAGGCCCAGAAGGAAACATCCCATAAAATTAGATAAGGAAGGATGTTCCAGGCAAATCTGAAAAATACTCTTCTCTGACTAAAATAATGCCATTTTGGTTTCATTCACTTCTGAGTACTTAACCAGGAAGAATATATTTTCAGTTCTTGTTTTCAGTTTAGTAAAGACCTAAAAACATCTCTCCTTCCACAGAGAGACCTTAAATGAGAATCTGTATATTCATCGTGGGTTACCATGGTCCCAAGTTCACCCATCCATGATGCTGACTGACATGGACACTGTTCTGGACAAAATGCCAGTAATCTTTCCAAAGCCAGTGTAATCACCACGTGTTGAGATGCAGCTTCAACAGGTAACTAAGGATTCCCGATGTGTGGATGTTACTGAATTGTTTTGCTGTTTCTGTCTTCTTTTCTCTATCTACCTTTAGAGTTCTTGGATTATAGGGTCTGCTGTGTAGCATTGCCTGACACGTCAATATATGTAGCTCAGGTTGGTTGAACTCCCAGCAATACTTCTGCCTCAGCATCTGGAATTAGAGCTGTGCGTTACTATGTCTAGCTTGCTGTTGCTTTCCTTCCTTCCTTCCTTCCTCCCTCCCTTCCTTCCTTTATTCATTTCTATAATTTTTTTTACTTTTTTTGTGTGTGTATATCCCTGACTGTTCTGGAACTAGCTTGGTAGAGCAGATTTGCCTAGAATTCACAGAGATCCACCTGCTTCTGCCTCTGCCTCCTGAGTACTGGATTAAAGGCATATGCCACCTTCCAACACAAATTTATTCTATGTGTATGAGTACCTGCATGTGTGTCATGCATCCTATACAGGTAGAAGAGGGCATTGGATCCCCCGGAGCTAGAGTTACAGACAGGTTTCAAGTCACTCTGTGGATCTGGGAGTTAAACCTGTGTCCTCTGTAAGAGCAGCAAGTGCTCCTAACTACTGAGCCATCTCTCAGCCTCCATTGCTGCTGTCTCTCAACATCCTCCCCTTACCCAAGCACTGTAGGGGCTATATCTAGGCCAAGAATTCATTTGGTTTTGAGAAGTTTCAGAATACTGATCTAGATATGTATGAATGTGCACCCCTGTAATCCCAGCACTTGGGAGAAGAGGCAAGAGGATCCCTGCATATTTGAGGCTAGACGGGCTGAATAGTGAATTCTAAGTTGAACACACATACACACACACATGCACACACACACACCATGGGATAAAAATCTCTTTGGGGCAGCTGGAGCAGTGATTTTGGCCCATTAAGACATTAGGAGATGTGGCCAGCAGTGCCTGTGAGGACAGTATTGATTGTACCTTATACCGGATGGCATGTTTTGAGGTTGTATTTGGTTTGTAGATGAAATCCACATTGACCTCAGAAATCCCAATGGCATCATAGCCAGGAGTGACCACGGGTCAACCTGGCACATTGCTCTATAGAACTTCCGGAGTATTCTTTTATTGCCTTTAGAGCTGGCTGCTGCTGAACTTCCCCAGGCCTTGAGAATACAGTTTGGCATCTGACAGGGTTCAGTAGAGAAGAGGAGGATGGATGTGGGTGGTCTTGTCTCTCAGAACCCCTCCCCCATTAGTAATGCAGAAGAATGGGTCCTCTTCTGGGATTGCTCCTGGATGCCGTGGACTCTGGTTTTGGCTAGGAACTTCTATGATGGCCGTGATCAGTCTGGCTATTCAGAAGGCTCCAGAGGAGGCTGCATGCAGTCTTTTCTTCTATGAAATAAAGACGAGAAGATATTTCTGCAGAAGTTGGTATGAGTAAGTGCTCAGCAAATGGAGCCACGTGTATTGTGAGAGAGGGTTACCTTCATGGTTCCCTGATGGGATGTATTCTATTGCTCTCTGTCTAGAAGAGGATCTAATGTCCTGACTCTCATACATGACATCCTGTACCCGAAGATTGACTCCATAAAACTAAAATGTCCTGGCAAGTGCAAGCATTTCTATGAAACAGAACACTGGGACTTCACGGCCTTTTACATATTAATGAGGACAGACATATTTAGTAACAGATTTTGATTTGGGCACGATAAGGACACTGAGCACTTTGGGAAGAGAAAGATGTCCCCCTGAGAAGAGCAAGGCTTTCTAAGGGCTGGGACAAACTTTCTTCACTCTGGTCTTCCTGCTTAAGCAGGCTGCCATGTACGGTGGGGGTCAGTGAATGCCAACATTTCCTTGGAACTCCTTCCTTTGGGTTTTGAGTTCTCTGTGTAGCTATGGCAGTCATAGAACTCACTGTGTAGACCAGGCTGGCCTCAAATTCACAGAGATCTGCCTGCCTCTGCCTCCTGAGTGCTGAGATTAAAGGCGTGCACCACCATGCCTGGCTTTGGGATTCTAATGACCCATGCCTATTTAGTCCCCCACCCCACTGTTACTTCACTGATGTTTTTCCTGGTTTGTTAGTCTTAGTGTATATGGAAGGTTCCTTACTGTCTTGCTTCCATGAGTGGCCAGGACCAGGGGCAAAGAAAAGGCTACCAGACTGTACAGGGGGTCTCTGCTGTAACCTTCCATGTACACACAGAGCAGAGCTGAACAGACAAGCACAGCATCACTATAGCAGTTAGAAATTGGCAGTGTAGGATGGGGAGTAGTGGTGTCTTTAAGAAACACAGGCTACATCTGGCTGTTGGTGGCACACGCCTTTAATCCCAGCACTCGGGAGGCAGAGGCAGGTGGATATTTGTGGGTTCCAGGTCAGCCTGGTCTACAGAGCAAGTTCCAGGACAGCCTCTGAAGCAATACAGAGAAACCCTGTCTCAAAAAACCAAAAAAAAAAAAAAAAAAAAAAGAAACACAGGCTACCCAGAGAAACCCTGTCTTGAAAAGAAAACAAAACAAAACACCACCAAAAGAAAGAAAGAGGGGGGCTGGAGAGATGGCTCAGAGGTTAAGAGCACTGACTGCTCTTCCAGAGGTCCTGAGTTCAGTTCCCAGCAACAACATGGTGGCTCAAAACCGTTTACAATTCAATCTGGTGCCCTCTTCTGGCATGTAGGTGGAACACTGTATATGTGATAAATAAATAAATCTTTTTTTTTTTTGGTTTTTCGAGACAGGGTTTCTCTGTGGCTTTGGAGGCTGTCCTGGAACTCACTTTGTAGACCAGGCTGGCCTCGAACTCACAGAGATCCGCCTGCCTCTGCCTCCTGAGTGCTGGGATTAAAGGCGTGCGCCACCAACGCCCGGCTAAATAAATAAATCTTTAAAAAAAAAAAAAAGAAAGGAAAAAAGTAAAAGAAACACAGGCTCCCCCAAAATGCCTGCCTGAGGGGACCTCAACCTAAGAGGAACAATATCAATATGAAAAACAGCTTGTGAGGGCCAGAACTGTGGAGCAGGGAGGAAGGTCCAGGGGAGATGTTTGGTAATTGGGGTGAAGGCATTGCCTGCTGCCTGCTGCCTGCTGCCTGCTGGTGCCTGCAGCACCCAAGAGTGAGTCTAGAGCTACTAGGTGCCCCAGGGAGGGGCTTAGAGGTGGCTCGCAGGCTTGCCCTCCAGGGAGATGATGGTGCTGCCTGTGGCAAAGTTTTTCTGCCAGGATGCAGTGGTCCTTGATCTCTTAGCAGTTTGTTCACAGTTCATGCTTGATGCCCGTCAGCTTCTTGATGGCCTCCTTGGAGCTGGCACAGGTCATTTTGCTTTGAAGGGGTACACTCTCAGGGGGCTCCAGGGATGACCATCCAGTCCTCCTTGCCCCCCTTGATCTCGTAGGTTGCATCATAGAGAGCACAGAAACAGTTCTTGTCTGGCAGCGTCTTGCCAAAGGAGTGTGTGGTCATCCATAGTTTGCCCTGTATCACCTCCTAGGATCTCCATGCTCTCCTCCAGGATGATGCTCTTCTTGTCCCCAGGCAGAAGAACACCGTCTGCCTGTGTTCATTTCCTCTGGGGATTTAAGGACTTGTGCACCTTCAAGTCATTTAACATGGTGGTGACACCATCAGAGAAAGTCACACCTCAAGCTGTGTTTCTGCAAGGAGAGCCATGGGAGCCCTGAATTGCTGCAGCTGTTCAGACATGACTGTCATTAATTTCTCTGCTTAAGTCAGATAAAGTTGGACACTGTAAGGTGACAGGAACAGGACTCTTACTAACTGCCCAGGCAAGGCTTTGATGAGGACTGGCCTCAGGGGCTGGGGCTGTAACTAGTTTGGTAGAGTGTTCCAAGTCCTGGATTCCATCCCCTTCACCATCTAGACTGGGTGTGGCACTGTCCACTTGTAGTCCCAGCGCTCAGGAGGTTCAAAGCCGTGTTCCGTTCCATGGCCAGTCTGGGCTACTGCAAGGCATGTCCTAAAAGGAAGAAAGAAGGCTAGGTGTGTGCCTGTAATCCCAACAGAGGCAGGTGGATCTCTGTGAGTTTGATACCAGTCTAGTTTCCCCAGTAAATCCTAGACCATTCAGAACTGTCTCAAAAAAAAAAAAAAAAAAAGAAAGAAACTGGATAGATGATCCCCTATACTTGTTATGATCAGCTCAATTATTTCTTAGACAAAAAAAAAGTTTGCTTTAAGATGTTTGCTGAGCTGGAGAGGTGGCTCAGCAGTTAAGAGCACTGGCTGCTCACCTGAGTTTTGTTCCTGCTAACCACATGGCTTCTTATAACCATGTGTAACTCCAGCTCCAGGGGATCCGACATCCTCTTTGGCCCCCAAGGGCACCAGGCACACATATAGTGCATGCATATACATGAAAGCAAAACTCTCATACACATAAAATAGGAATAAATCTTTGTTTTAATTGTTGGCTGAAAATTCTGTCAATTGTCTGGGTGTGGTGGCTCACAGTTGCAATGCCAGCAAAGCCCGCAATCTCAAGGCGAGTCGGCCTAGAGTGAGACCCTGTTTCAAACATAATAAAAAAATATCCTGGTGCGTGCGTGTGTGTGTGTGGGGGCCACAGCACACACCTTTAATCCAGCATTCTGGAGGCTGAGGCAGGAAGATCTACAAGTTCAAGGCCAGCCTGGTCTACTGAGTGAGTTCCAGGTTTACACAGAGAAATGCTGCCGTGGACCCCCAGACCTCCGCCCTCCCCCGGCCCCCCAAAGAGCACATATATTGAAGGGCTGAGGATGGAATTCAGTGGCGGACTGCTTCTTGCCTAGCATGCAGGAGGCTTTGGGTTCAATTACTCGGGCTGCTGAAAAGGCTGTGTGTAAGGACTGTTTTACTCGTCCTGAGGGAGGGATGGAGGAGCAGTGCTCACGGTTTGGAGTCACTGGAGTCCTGCCCCTCTGTCCTTGCTCTCTGCCTGTAAGTCCAGATTCACTAAATTAGTGAATTTACTTAAGATAGAAAACAGATAAAAATCTACCCTTCTGGACTCC